TTCCTAATTGGGTTCCCTGGTGAATGGTGCAGCTCTAAAATGCCGTTGAAACTCGCGCGCGCGTACACACGGAACAACTTTTGAGCCTTTATACCACTGCCCTATCTGGACTGTTTTCCGGCATGACAGCGCCACTTATGGTAGACGAGTGGCCACAGATCGTCCTGGCAGGATATCTCATGAGCCACTTTTATAGTGAACTGTGCTTCAAAGTAAATGTGAATGTAGAAATGAAAAGTGGAGCAAAAGGTTATTTACGTGACAGAAAGTCAATTTTTTCTGTAACGCCCTATCTTTTCAAAATACTTGGGACTTTCGATATCTTATTGAACATGAGCAAACCAATGTACAATTGAGTGTTCTCATCTTTCTGTGAAGTTCTGACACTGATCAGCCGTGGGCCAAGAAGTGATGATGACCGGATTGGATTGAATTTGATGGTGACCATGTAGCCATGTACTCCACCCGAAAGCGGTAACGCAGAAGAATATTTAGGTGTTTTTCTTTTTTTTTTGTGAAACATTTTCTTCTTACTTTTACTGCTCGCCATCTTTTTGCCGAAGTATCGAAAGCGGCTTTTGCCGTTGTGGTTGAAAGATGCCCGAATGCATTTCTTGACTTAAATCCTATTGTCTGGGCGATTAGACCTTTATCAGTCCTTACCTACTTTCGGAAATGATCGTCTTCTGCTTTTGAAGTCTCGCAGCACTTTATCAGTGCACTTTCGTCGGTGTTTGGTTTTGCTTGCTTTTCGGGTTGCTTTGCTATTTTCACGTTTCAGGATGTGGTGAGGTGATTCATCCTTCCACATCAGTGCTGAAAAGAGAACTTTCCTACTTGTGGCAGGCGTAGGTCGGCTATTAATTGGCGATTCCGACCATAATCCCCTAATCCCCCTTGCACTTCTCAGCCGGCTGCTGATTTTCTAGAAATGCACTTCCATAACCGCTATTTGAGCCATGCTAAGTGTTTCCGATTTGAATTGCTGTGCCGTTTATGTTTATCGTGTATTCCACTCCTCCCACTGTTTTCGCCATGGGCGCCCTGCTGCCCAAGTCTGGGGCACTGTTCGTGTAGAAGCGGAACATGGCTTTCGTCAGCGGGTTGGTTAAAAAAGGAACTCCGGGAAGTTCCTCGTTGCAAATGTCAATGCAGCTTGTATGCCGCCGATCACCTATGGAAATTCGAAGTAATGCTTGAGTAGTCAGATTGGCTCCTTTATATTGTTGAGCGACCCTTTTAACTTTTCTTTGCTGTCCTTCCTTTCACACCTTCTCTCTCCTTATATTTTCACCAAGGGCCGCCCGGCTAACGCCAGGCTCCCCTCCTTCTTATGGTGTCGCCCGGCTTCTCCGGGCGCTCCTCCTTCTTGTAAGAAATTGCTTTCCATGAAAGCTCTACACTCCCAGCATTAGCTCCGAATTGGAAGCGATTTTTTCTGCATTATAATTGGTTGTATACTAATGAGAAGTCTCGATTCATTGCTCTTCATCTCGAAATTGTGTCACATTGATGGCTTAACTGATTGAAAGCCAATGTCTTGAATGGTACCCAGAAATGGATAGTAACGCCTATCACAGATGCCGTTATCAATAGAACATTCTCCCCACGGAGTTTTCATTAATTGGGAATCCCAAATCATTAGCGGTCAGATGAGTTTAGTCACAAATGATATGCCACAAAACAAAAAGGAATCGCGGTACTTCATTCTGTCACAAAGCTTACTACGTAACGGTCGTAGTTTAATAGCAAGAAATGAACAATATTCTCATTTCGTTATGGAGAAATGTCTTTGATCAGTTGCTATTACAGGATTTACAGCATTAAAGAGTCAATGTTCGAATACTCTTTTGCTCTCTAAGACCC